TGAATATCTTTCAACACATTTGGTTTCATACGACATAAACACAGCACTAAATCCGTTAATCTCTTGCAGTGTCTCAACGGATCCAACAGCAGGTCATCGACGGTCGCATACGCTGTTAAATGTAATCGTTTTAATTGGCGATAAACTCTCAACGAATCCAATGATATCGGGAATACGGGTTCGGTGTCCACTGAGATCAGTTGGAGTGACAATCGTTTCAATTGTTTGCAATTCACGCCAATTGTACGCAAACACTGGTTCACAGCTGCGGACTTCTGGCCGTCCAGTTCGTCAAAATCTAACCCGAGTGTCAATTCCCGTAATTGTGTTAATCGTGACAATTGTCCGCACATTTCGGTCAAAGATATAGTATTTCCAAAATAAAATCGCCAAAAAACCAAACACTTGAGCGACTGATTGTGTGCCACAAATGCAGACCAGCGGTCGTTCAAAGACCCCAAATGCGATCTCAACTCAAATGTATGCAAATTATGGCCAAACAGTGTATTCAATGCATGAAATGATTGGGTTCTCAAGTGTGACAATCGGTGGCAATGAGTGAGAGCTTCACTGTCTGTATAGCAGTTAATACCACCGATTCGTGTGACCAGTGGTCCCAACGATGGCATTGTTTGCGCACTTTTTGACGTCAAATATATTTCCCTTAAATGCCGGCAATTGTCTCGAAATGTGTTCAACACTTCGGGAATGTGTTCTTCATATTCAGCGCTTATTCCTCGGCAGTCAATGCACTCAATGTTTGCACACTTTATGGCAATTGTGGCCAACATTTGAATATCACTTCTTTTCTCTTTAAGTAATCGCTGTATAAATCGGTCGCTAAGAGTGATGTCCACAACACTCTCGAAGACTGTCCTCTGGAACTGTTTGGACACACATTCGTAGAGAAACCGATCTTCGAATGAGAGATAAGACACGAGAAGTGCACACAAATCATCACCGAATCTGTCCATTGAGTTCTTCGCGTAAATGTTTGGCTAAAATGTGAGACAAAAAACAATTAAAACTCAATAAACAGTAAAATGTATTACAAAAACCTGTTGTCTTTTTTGGTCATCATTTTCGCCGTCATCTGTGGTCTCGAGTGTTGTCTTCAAATGTTTCATCTGTTGTGTCATATCTTGGGATCAAATGAAGTGATTGTTTGAATGAATTGTGTTTTTGTTTTGAAACGCAATAAATGTCACAAAAATATTTGCATTGAATTCAAAGCCAACACAAAGTGTTGACAACGAGTGAGACATCTATTGACACATATTTTCATTACATTTGGTATCACTTTTTGCCCACACTTTCAATGACTGTTTAATCCGGTTTTAAATTCACATTTAATTTAAATAATTATATTTATTTCAAATTTAAATACTATATTAAAAAACAATATATTTTTATAACAAAATTAAATGAAATAAATTTATAATAAATACTGAAATAATAAAACACAGAAATGAATGCAAAACTATTTAATAATTTAAATGTATTTATAAACTTTAAGTCATGTATGAAATAAACACACGGTTTAAACATTTAATTAAATCTCTAAATGACATGAATTGCAATTAATATTACATTTTTATTTCAATCACATAATTGGCAACAAATAGGCATTAAATACAAGATATGTTTGAAATAAACGCAAAATTCAGACTTTAATAATAAAACACTAAATATTTTACACATTTTTACTTTGAATAAAATTTCTTAACATTTTTTACACGGATTTCAATTGTCTTGAGTTTAGGACTCGAAGACAACACAGCATTCAAATCATTATCACTTATATTGTTGTTATGGTTTTCAATGACAAGCGTTTTCAGCGCCGGTAGTCTTGAGATGTGTGACAAACACTCGGTGTCTATAATGCCATTCAAGTCATGAATGAATAGATAGTGAAGTCGTGGATAGTATTGATGCAAATCTTTCAACACATTTGTGTTTATTTTCTTTATATAGAGCTCTAATTGCGTTAATCTCTTGCAGTGTCTCAACGGTTCCCACACTCGCTCATCGACATTGATCTCTAAACATAACCGCTTTAATGATCCATAAGATCTCAACCAATCCAACGATATTTTGATCGCTGGTTCGCCAGCCCTTGCGGACAACTTGAGTGCCAATCGTTGCAATTGTTTGCAATTCACGCCAATTGCGCGCATAAAGTCGGTCACAGCCGCCAATGTCTGGCCGCCAATTATCCTCAACGCGAGTGTCAGTTCCCGTAATTGTAATAATTGTGACAATTGTACCGACAGTTCCATCAATGACTCTTCGGATCTCATATAACACGTCTTTATGGCCAGACTTTGAAGCGACTGATTCTGTGCCACGAATGGAGACAATCGGTGGTTATTATAGTCTTTATGCAATTCCAACACAAATTGACGCAAATTGATGACAAAAGTTTGGTTATAAAT